CCAACAAGCATACATACTATGTGCAAGTCTTTTATGAATTATTCAATATCCCATTTTAAAACATCCTTCGACTTGAAACTTTATTTAAAATCACAGCTTTCAAGGTATGTTCCATGATCACCATCTCTATGCGCAACCATACCTTATAACCATAAGTGATTTATGGATTTTATCTTAAGTGCGATTATAAGATAAAAACTTACTCTTAAGATAAAGTAATGCCTTATTTACAATATAATTCCAATAGATAGTATTTACAAGTAGAATACGTCCAATCCGATTGGAACGCCGGGTATCCTACTCTAACAAGTCTACCATGATAGAATTGCCCCGCTGAATCTAAGCAAGAGTATAGGGCTAAGGATTAGGCTTACTTGACAGTCGAAGTTCCTCGACAACCTATAAGTCCACCACATTCTCGTAGGATGTTGAATCAATAATAAAATGCAGAACCGACCACTAACAGTATCGTGGACTCGAACATATGATGTTGTTAAACAGAATCCTCAAATGATAAATGCGACGAAAAACAAGATCGACGAAGAACGAGGGCAGGGCCCACATTGCTGCACAAATTCTCATCCACCATCGGAGGCTCCTCACCGAACACAGACGCACCTTTGTAGTCCGACGCATTGTTGTCATCACCGATCATCGTACGGGAGCCGCTCGACTTAAGGCAAACTACTCGATGATGGCCTGTCCCACCGCACTAAAAGCAGCACAATCTTCCCACTGGCATAGCACTCACAGTCGTTGTCGTCACCTCTGGACGATTGGTGGATGTTGCAGCAGGGATGCTTGCACCCGTCGACGCCGCCAGAAAAATGAACGACGCAACATGCCGCATGAGCTGCTGCTTCACAAGAAGAGCATGATCCATGTCTGAGATGGGGTCAGGGATGAACAGATTCAACATATCCTGAATGGGCATACAAAAGCCGCCAATATAACGTAAGATGAGTTGTTCGTCATCTCATGCACATCAATGCACGTGATGAGATGATAAAATTTTTAGATGTAGTCGTTGACCAAACGAGGACCTTGACGATGATTTAGTAGTCGTTGATAAAGGGTGCGCACATAATAAAATGGTAAAAACTTTCGTTTGATGTGCTTGTGGAATTTTTCTTATGGCGTCAACTTCAACTTCCCCAGGTGGTGCCAGACAACGTTGAGTTGCTGCCACTAGGCGTCAATCCTCCCACGCTGCCGTGTAAAGATGAGGGAAATGCGTTGGCCGTTCGACACGTCTTTGTAGTCATGGACATTCTCGACTGTAGCCATCCAATCCAAGCATTCTGCTGCATCCAAGCTAGCTGTGAATTCTGGGATATTGACCTGGAAGGACGCCCCCCACTGACAATCGTCGACAAAATAGTCGTAATCCTGCGCCTAATGACCGAATGGATTAACCTCGGATATGATGTTTTCAAAATCACCGTCTCTGACCCTGTGCAAGGCAGATTGAGTGAGGCGCTCCACGTGTGCTCTGACCACGGCCTCCGTGCAATCCCCCTCGGCTGCCACGTCCACAATCCAGTGGCGGTTCGCTCGATCGCTATGAATAGAGGTATGTAAAGCAGTCGAATATCCTCGAGCTTCACAGCTAGATCTGCAACCTAGCGCTCCAACGCCTCGATCATGGTGTCGCGCCTGTCCTATGCAACACCGTTCCATTTAGACGACATTGTATAAAAATCAGACTGGTCTGCTGATACAAACTGGGGAAGCTTAAACGATAAGGAGAAATCAAGAGAAAACTCTCAATATTTTTATTTCAGTCAAAACTCAACTCTAGTAAACAAGAGAAGATGGCTATTAAATAGAACTCCTAAAAGTCTCACTACTAATTTACGTAGCAAGAAAAGAACTAGAGGAAATAAATACGAGGCTACGAGAAATAGATATTTGTCCTACCAAAACTAGAAAGCAAATACTAATAATAAAGAAGACCAATAATTAAATTAACAATGTTAAATGATGATGCTTGGCTATAAAAGTCATCGCAATCTCATCTCAGTCACCTTTGTTTTGCATGAAATAAATTTCACTTGGACGGTCGAAGTATTCCACCTACCAATTCAAGTATATCATCAACTTGTCACATCATCTGTATTAACCTATTTAAGAAATGGAGGATCCAACCTAGCCCAAATGCTACGGCGGATCGGGCTAAGTTAGAGAATATTTAACAACAAAACCTCTTTAAATCTCTTTTTTTATTTTTCAATGGGCCACATCACCCAAAATCTTAATCATAGTCCTACATCATAAACTTTCAATAACAATAAAACTCACATATTTATTTTATACGGGTTTCACATGTTTCTCACTTGCTTTATTTTAAAATTTTTACTTTAATCTTTCCTACTATAATTTTCTTATTTTGTATTTATTTATTGCCCGCTTGTGAGTTTATGAGGTTCAAAATCTCAAACTTTATTTAAAAACAAAAACCTCAAACATCTTTCTTATAATAATAAATCTCATAAGTTTGTTCTTTATACCTATTACTAAACTGCCCTCAGAGCTTGGCCAAATTGTCATCCGTTAAAGACTATGTTTGATAGACAAATAAGTTAGTTTATAGCTTATTTGATTAGTTTATAAGCTCCCTGTATTCAAATATGTTTGGTTTGATAGGACAGGCTTTTTTTAAAAAGTTCGAGCCAAATTGATAAGTTTTTTGGGTAGCTTTTCAAATAAGGTCGTTAAAATTTTTATTTCAGCTAGTTTATCAGTTAATTTTATCAAACACTTTTATCATATAAGCTAGTTTTTCAGCTATAAATCATAAGATATAAGGTATAAGCTCAAAAATCTATACTTATATAAAAAGACATCCTATTTACTAGAATTAGTTGTAAGAAACGTCAATGATAATTAATGCATTCTATTTCCATCAAGTATTTTATTTAATTGTTTTATCCCATAACACCTTTTCAGTACAAGTTAACATGATTTTTCTATTGTGATTAAAACACAGATTTACGTTTAAAATCTTATTATTATTATTATTATTATTATTATTATTATTATTATTATTATTATTATTTTTATAAAGCACATATTATTTGTTAAAAAATTATATATATATATATATATATATTATACACATCACAGTACCATTGTAGATGATTTAAATTTCAGTCGAACAAAATACCAATGATTTAAATTTAAACACACATATGCGTTTGACTAAATGTCTGGATGATTTAAAATTGAGCACATAAAAAATTATTTAAATTTGCACACACCAGAAATTTTATGTACTTTTTATTTATAAATATATTGAAAGTGGTATTTAATGGTTGTTATATAAACTATTTTAATATATTTGCAATAAATAAAAGTTTGAATGAATAATTTGTAATATTATTCATTAAGTTTGTGACTTATGATACATGAACACATAACTCCATACATATTTGCCAGAAGGCGGCTTAATAATTTTTATACATTGTTCAAAGCTGTAATGAATCAACAAATCGTAGAATAAAAAGAACATTATGAAAATGTTTTCTACAATGATAAAACGTTACAAACTGATAAAGGCTAAAAAAATATTATGGAAAACTTTTATGTTTGTTTAGATTAACAACATTGATCCAACAAGTTCATCTTTCCTGTCTGGTCAAAATAATAATCAAACTTTATAAATCAATAAGCAAAATGTTTGGTCAAATTAATAATCAAACTTTATAAATTATTAGCAAATAAAAATCAGTCTTAATTGAATGTAGAGTATGTTGTAAATCAATTCACACGGTTAAATTTATAATAATTAAAAGTAACAAACTAAAAAAAATCAAAAAGTTTAGATGACATATGACATGCATCCCGCTCAGAGAAAACCTTTATCTTATAGCAAAATGCTGGTTGCATCCAATCTAATAGATGTGTAGAAAAAAATGATAGATAAAAAACCTCTTCATAACGAGAAAAATTTATCTTATATCAGAATGTTGGCTGCAATCTAATAGATTTTTTTATTATTATTTGCAACCAGCATTCTAGCTATACTAAAGTAAATCATTATATCATTAAAAATATATTATGGTTATATTATCAAATCATAAAAAGATATTACATCCATATTGTAAAAATAATAATAATAATAATAATCATATAATTTTATAACAATTATACTACACTATTTACCAGTATTCCTTTTTATTTATAAAATAATAATTAAATATTATATGGTGAACAAAAATAAGTAAAACAATTACTTTTTTTATTTCAAGAGATAAATTTATATGCTAAAATTTAATTATTATTATTAGTATAAATGTTTTAGTAAGATAATATATTAATTATTTTACCAGCTAGCCCTAACATGCACATATTTAATGTTCTGATTAAAAAAAACAACGCTGGTTAAAGGTGGAAAAAAACTTATAACCCTATTGTTTGTTATACTCAACGTTGATTAAAAGATGTATATAAAATAGATAATAACACTATTACTTTTTGAACTTAAACCAAAAAAGCTGTGAAAATAACTCATTTAATC